ACTACACCCCCCACATCCCGTCGGCAAGCGGCATTTTTTTGGATTTTGCAGTCGCTCGCCGCACGCCGGAGCGAACCGTGTGGCATTGTGACAATACCTCATGATTGTGCACGGCGTCATGCGTGTCAGGCTCCCCAGTCCGCGCCCAGGATTGCGCGAAATCCCACACGGGTGGGAATTTGCATTTTCGATTTTGGGGCGCTGTGCACCCCATATATTTCAATTACCATTGGTCCACCCTAGATCCGCTACTTTATCGCTCTGTGTTTGCACCAGCAGCCAAGCCCCTCAAACACACACGTCACACCTCATGCACACATATTATAATCATATTCCCTAGGGTGGTCCTTTGGTGCCAGAGGGAGGGTGAGGCTGGGAGGGTCGAGTGAACGAGCGCGATTCTCTACCTCAGTGTCAGTCCTCACGGCCTGAGCCAGCACGAGCAGCCCGGGACAGGGACGGTGTGCGAGACCAGCGCGGAGTGGAGCTCGCACTTGAGGTGGCGCCCCTTGCGCAACAGCTCGATGGCGACGCACGCCTGCCCCTTATCGAGGCACGCGGCGCGGCAGCCGGCCTCGTCGAGGCCCCATACCGCCTCAAACACGCCGAACCCGCCGCTCGCGGCCCGGCAGCAGCCCGCCTCTCCCCCTCGCGCAGCAACCCACGCGGCGGCGGGGCGCGGCGCCGGGCGCGGCGCAGCCTCGGGGCCGACGCTCACGCTGCGCAGCTCCGAGCCCCACTGGCACCAGAGGGAGGCCATACCGGAGGCAGAGGCGGATGCTGGGAGCACGCCGCAGACCTGGCTCGCGCCCCGCGGCCACGCGCCCCGCAGCGTGGACCAGCCGCCCTTGCCGGCGGGCAAGCCGGCGGAGGAGTTTGGCGAGTAGTAGCTCGCGGCCTCGTGCTCCTCGCCGGGAGGGCCGCACCTTGACAGGACACAACGACTCGTGAGTCGTGGGAGAGAGCTCAAGATCTCGCCCGCGTGCCCCTCTCGCCGGGAGGATCGAGGGACGCGCACCCGCCGTCGCGGCGATCATGCACGCCGCCCACGACGAGGAGGCCGTCGCCGTACGGAAGCACGCTCGAGGCGATGTGTCCGTGCGGCCGCAGCATAGGCGGCAGCCTCTCCCACGCGTCGGTCGCCGCCGAGTAGCGGTACACGTCGTCCTTGTTCGAGCAGCCCTCGGCGCCGCGGCTCTGCCCGCCCAGCAGGTACAGGTGCGAGCCGAGGGTGGCGGCCGCCATGTGGTTGGCGCGGACGGGCACGGCCGCGCGGGCCCTCCACCCACGCGTGGGGTCCGCGAGCGAGAGCGCCCAATGCTGGTCGTGGTCGGCCGTAAACGCGTCTGCGCGCCCCCCCGCCCTCGAGCCGTCCACAGTGCCGCCACTCGCGAAGTGCAGCTCGCCGTCGAGCAGCGCGAGGCCGCCTCCGAAGCGGGGGGCGGGGAGCGGCGGCAGCCGCTTCCACGTGGCGGTGGGCGTGTGCAGCGCGAGCACGTCGTCCGCGGTGTACACGTCGTCGAGGCCCTGCCTGCCGGCCCGCATCGCCATGCCGCCGGCGAGGTAGATCGTTTGCGAAGCCTCGTCCGCCGCGTTGCCCGCGTGCGTGTTGCCTTGCGCGGCGAGCGGCATGCGCGGCAGGGGTGTCCAGCGAGGCGTGCTGCCACGCAGGTCACACGCCCACGCGTCGGCGCTCATGCGCGACCAGCCATCGACGAAGCCGCCGAAGACGTACAGCGTGCCCCCGAGCATCGCGCCCTGCGCCTCCCGCAGCGACCCGGCTGCGGGAGGCAGTGGGTGCGTCGAGAGGTCGCCGACCGTCGCGGGGCGAGGGGACGTGCGCGGCGTGACTGCCTCGGGCGGGACCACTGGCAGGGCGCGGGGCGGAGCCGGGAGAGCGGCATCGAGGTCCGCCTGGCACGGCTGTGGGCAGCCCTGCACGTCGAGGCAGCCGGCGCAGGTGCCGTCGCCGTGCTCGCAGCCGCAGCCCTCACAATCGCGGTCCGGACGGTTGGCGAGGTACCACTGGAAGAGCACGAGCGGCGAGTCACGGCCGAGCTCCACGCCGTCAGGGCCCCAATAGCCCACCTTGTGGTCGCAACGCGGGTTGCCGGCGCAGTGGGTGCGTGCCCAGGTGATGGCGCCCTCGCACCTGCCAAAGAGATCTCGGAACGCAGCGGCGCCGTACGAATGGCACCGATGTGGCTGCGCGTTCTGACCCGCCGGCCCAACGCACGGACAGTCGGCACGCGTGTTTGCCTTGCCAATCCGTCCGCCATTCGCTGCGTACAGGCGAGCAAACGGGTGCGCGCCGGCGACGTAGCTCGGGTCGCAGCCAAGTGGCAAGGGGTAGAGATGGCCTGCCGGTGGCGACCTCTCTGGTGAGGACGAGGGCGGCGGCGGCGGCACCTCCCATCATTGGCCGCATTTGGCCCGTTTGGGTAGGTCGATGTTTTCGCCGCCCCACCCGAGCATCGAGCTGTCGTAGCCGCCCGTCTCGTTCCACCAGCGGCGACTGATGGCGACTAGCCCGCCGCTCATGATGGGCACGTCGAGAATAGTGGACAGTGCCAACAACAACACCGTAAAAAACAAAGAGCTCGCCCGCGATCCCACACGGGCGACCTCGTGCCCGCGCCGCCGCCGGTGGGGCAGAACGCCCCACAGAACGTACCTCTCTCGCGCCCACGGTGCCGACGCGGCGCCGGAGTGGCCGGCGCTGCTCACCACGACCACGACGGCTACTCTGATGCTCCGGGCCAGCCCGTCCTACCCGACGGTGGCACTCTTCACGTCTCCCACGCTGAGAAAAATTCTGAAACGGCGTGCAGCAGAGTCGCCGACGAGTCGGTCCGCGTGCCTCCTCGTGTCCCGTACCGTTCTCACACATCCATAAACTCACTTTGGCCTCACTGATCTGAAGCGATGCCTGAATCCTTAATCCTCGGATTTTAGTATTTAGATTAGGACGCTGTCTACCCCCTACTTGAGAGCGAGGCACGCGAGGGGGCGCGGAGAGAGAGAGAGAGAGCGGTGTTGGCTGTGGCCTCGCCCCTTCTCGCGGTCCGCTGCCGTCGCTGAAGAAATTTACCTTACCACATACCACCTACCTTACTCTACGCTCGAGGTGTATAGTAACTGTTTGCGATCACCGTTCACCCCCCATGGGTTCGTAGCCCTTTCTGAGTCATTCTAGTGAGGGCTACCCATGGGGGATGATCGCACTGTTACACAGAGAGAGGACTCTGGTGTGGTGTCCCAGTCACAGACCACACACGCGGCGGCCGGCGCGGGGCGACCGGGGTAGGCGCGAACGCGCATATGTGACCCTGATCCATGGCCCAACCCCACTCTCGAGCGCACGTCCGCAAGTAGCGAATAGGCATGTGGGCGACGCGGCAACACCTAACACATCAGTGACCCGGCGCCCACGCCTCGACCTTCTTGGGCAGCATCTGGTCCGACAGGTCCTCTCCGTGGCCTAGGCCGCCGTGGCGGCCCTCGCCCCAGGTAAAGAAGGCGCCGTCGGCGGTGAGGGCGAGGCTGTGGCATGGTCCAGCAGAGACAGCGACGACGCGCTGCCCAGCCAACGCCTCGACCTTCTTGGGCAGCAGCTGGCGCTGCGTGTCGCCGTGGCCCAACCGGCCGTCGCCTCCACTGCCCCAGGACCAGACGGCGCCGTCGGCGGTGAGGGCGAGGCTGTGGACTTGTCCCGCCGAGACAGCGACGACGCGCTGCCCAGTAAACGCCTCGACCTTCTTCGGCAGCAGCTGGCGCTGCTGGTCGCCGTGGCCCAGCTGGCCACAGCCTCCGCCGCCCCAGCTCCAGACAGCGCCGTCGGCGGTGAGGGCGAGGCTGTGGCCGAGTCCAGCCGACACGGCGACGACGCGCCGCCCAGCCAAGGCCTCGACCTTCTTCGGCTGCCACTGGTTCTGCCCGCCGCCGTGGCCCAGCTTGCCCCCGCCTCCACCGCCCCAGCTCCAGACGGCGCCGTCGGCGGTGATGGCGAGGCTGTGACCATCTCCAGCCGCCACCGCGACGACGCGCTGCCCAGCCAAGGCCTCAATCCTCGTGGGCAGTGACTGGGCCTGCCGATTGCCGTGGCCCAACCCCAGCACGCCAAAGGCTCCCCAACCCCAGCTCCAGACAGAGCCATCGGCGGTGACAGCGAGGCTGTGGTCCAGCCCAGCCGACACAGCGAGAACGCGCTGCCCAGCAAATGCCTCGATCTTCTTCGGCAGCAGCTGGTGCTGCGTGTCGCCGTGGCCCAGCTGGCCTCCGCCTCCATCGCCCCAGCTCCAGACACTGCCGTCGGCGGTGAGGGCGAGGCTGTGGCCGTCTCCAGCCGACACGCTCACCGCACGCTCACCCAGCGCCGACGGGAGGCGGGTCGGCGTGTTGAGCCGCGTCACGCCCTCGCCGTGCCCGAGCAGTCCCGAGGGCCGCCCCTCCACGTACTGTGTCGACGAGTAGTCGTGCGGCGCCGAGCCGCACGCCGAGAGCCGCCCCTCGCCGTCGATGAAGACGCTGTGCAGACGGCCTGCTGCCGCCCTCGCCGGCGGGTTGGACTCGCACAGAAGCGCCGAGTAGCACAGCCACCGCACGGCGCAGCCCTCGCCCTCGGGCAGCGCCGGCAGCTCAAAGCCGCGCTCTTGCGCCCACAAGCGGATGCCCTCCACCGCGAGCGAGGCGTGGAAGAGTAGCGAGACGGCCGCAACGCGAGCGATGTCGGCGGGGCTGTCGCAGCGAGAGAGGACGCGCTCGAGGAGCTCCCTGGGGAGGTCGAGGAGGCGGGCGGGCGGCGGCGTGCTTGGCGAAGCCGCGGTGGCGGCGGCGGCGAGCGATGGCACCGAGGCGCCATCGTCGTCTGGCGGAAGCTCTTCGTCGGGGTCGGGCGGCTCGGGTGGATCCACGTCTATGTCCGCCGCGTGCGTGCTCGGAGCATGCATGTGTGCGTGTGCGGTGTGGACGTTTATCCTTGAGTCGTCTGATGTGTATAGGTGTGTACAAGAAACTATTTCTGAACGCCTAGACGCCATTCCTTGAGGCTTGGTTATGTGAGTGGGGTGGACCCACAGATCATGCAGGAGCAATAGGGAAGAAATCCGCAGGTACGTTTTGGAGCTATGAAGGGTTAAAGTTGGAGTTCCGAGCAGCTCCTCGGGGCCGGTCGGGGAGGCACTCTCGGGGAGGCTTCTAGCGCGCCAATCACTCAGCTAGCAGCTCCTAGAAGGCCGAGGTGTAACTCATATGATTTCAGATATATATGAGTTACTTCACTTTGGCTTAAACCGGCTGTGCCCGAGCTTGACGGTGCGCCACGCTGCCACCACCGTTGCTCCGTTGGCCGCTCGGGCCTCACCTCACTCTCTCCGGCCCCTTCTCTTGGGTCTTTGTCACCTAGGTCCTCCCCTGTGCACAGCTCAGAAGATATCTTGGGTCCCTCTTCCTAGCCCCTTATACACACTTCTTAGCTTTAAGGAGCCGCATACACAAGACAGCCTGACTACGACAACAAAGTGGCCGTTTCACGGAGCACCGTGTTGCCTTCGGTGGCAGCGGTGGCAGGGTGGTGTGGCGCAATAACAACCTCGACCCGCGAGCCCTTGCTTGGCATGCTAGCAGGGGCATGTCCTGCTTGACCAGGAAGGCCAGTCTCTCCACCTCTAGAGCCTGGGGCGGCGAGATTCAGCGAGACTGCTGCGATTTCCCGGCTCGCGACCCGTCTGCTGTGCGAGCAAAGGCGCACTTCGGGCGCCGTGGGGGGCGCAAAAGCGCGTTTCACGCTGCACATCTGACTAGAGAGTTGTAGTCCCGGGTCCGCACTACAACCCCAGAGTCGGAGATTTGGTGTCAGTCGCTTGTCCGCGCCCTCCAGGGCGCGCGGACTTCTGGGACTTGCATGGCGGCTCGGTCGCGCCCCGTGAGCTGTGCGAGCAAAGGCGCACTTCGGGCGCCGTGGAGGGCGCAACAGCGCGTTTCACGCCGCACATCCGACTAGAGAGTTGTAGTCCGGGGTCCGCACTACAACCCCAGAGTCGGACATTTGGTGTCAGTCGCTTGTCCGCGCCCTCCACGGCGCGCGGCGTGCGAATACAAAATCGGCCCTGCACGCAGCCCCTCGAGCAGAAGTAGTGGCCTTCCGTGGGCATCCAAACTGCCGCGCACATCACGTGTGAGTGGAGCGCCACGCCGCAGTGCTGGCACGCGTGCGCGTGCCCTTCGCCTGCTGCGAAGGGCACGTTGCACGCGCCACACGACCAGTGGCGCGGCCTGCCGCCGCCGCCTCCGCCGCCGCCACCGCCACCGCCGCCACCGCCGCCGCCGCCGCCGCCGCCGCCACCGGCGCCACTGCCGCCAACGCCACCGCCGCCGCCGCCGCCGCCGCCGCCGCCGCCGCCGCCGCCGCCGCCGCCGCCTCCGCCGCCGCTGCCGCCGTGTCGGCTCCGCCTGCCACCGCCGCCGCCACCACCGCCACCGCCGCCACCGCCGCCACCGCCGCCACCGCCGCCACCGCCGCCACCGCCGCCACCGCCGCCACCGCCGCCACCGCCGCCTTGCCCCTTGCCGCCGCCCTTGCCGCCGCCCCTGCCGCCGCCCTTGCCGCCGCCCTTGGCGACGGCCGACGCGCCGCCGCCGCCGCGGCTGCCGAGGCGACAGCTGCGCATGAAGGCGTCGACCTGCAGCCTCTGGCTCTGCGCCTCCTCCTCCTTCTTCCTGGCGGCCGCCGCCGACCGCCGCTCTCGCTCTTGCCCGCCCGTGACCGGCTCGCCGACCAGCTCGACCACATCGTAATGCATGCGCTGTGACCGGCACAAGTTGACCGTAGTCAATGCACCGGTCACCTCGAAGCGCGAGGTGAGCGTGAAGTGCTTGGGCCTGCCATCGGTCGGTATCCACACCGCAACGTTCACGGAGCGCAACCGCGAGTAGGCGAGGATCTCGAGCGCGCCGCCCCAGCAAACACGGCCTCGGCACCGCTGCATTTGCAACGCGTAGTCCTTGACCGACAGTTGCTGGCCACATTCATGCTCGATCCACTTGGCGATGCGCAGCCCGTTGTGCACATAGTTGCCGTGCTCCTGCAGCCACTCGGCACATTGACGCCGAATGCTGGCGGGCGTCGCCGCTCCAAAGAGCCACCCAGCGTCTTGCTGCTCGCAGTACGCGAAGGAATTGAAGAGGCACGAACCGTCTGGGGTCTGGGCCACGAGAGTACCGCGCCGAACGACAGCCTCCACGTCTGGGGAGAGGTTGCGCCTTGGGCCTTGCAACTGCGCGTCCGGATGCTTCCCGCGAGGCTTCGGGAAGTGTGGGCAGTCTATGGTCCGATGACGTTCGCCGCACCTGTCGCAGCAGGCCATGAGGCGAGACTCTCGAGCACCTTGGCACTCGCGCGAGAGCTCGACTTTTGACACGCGTGAAAAAGAATTCTACCTGCACTCCAAGTGCTCCAAGTGCGTCTCGACACTGGAGCGCCGGCCCGCGACACCATCACCCGACGAGCGCCGGCCGCTAGTGATAGCCGCGCCACGCACGCGACGCGGCGGCGTTTCCTCACGGTACGTGAGTGTTGGTGGCGCTGTCGGTGGCAGCGCCACCGCAGGCATGGCACGGTGCGCTTGCCGCCTGGACGCGGCGCCACGGCCGTGCGCGCGATGACGAGCGCCTGCGGCGCATCGCCGCCACGATCACGGCACACCGTGAAGTGACACGCGACGTGGCGTTTCCTCACGGCACGTGAGTGTGCGGTGGTGGCGCTGTCGGTGGCAGCGCCACCGCAGGCATGGCACGGTGCGCTTGCCGCCTGGACGCGGCGCCACAGCCGTGCGCGCGATGACGAGCGCCTGCGGCGCATCGCCGCCACGATCACGGCACACCGTGAAGTGACACGCGACGTGGCGTTTCCTCACGGCACGTGAGTGTGCGGTGGTGGCGCTGTCGGTGGCAGCGCCACCGCAGGCATGGCACGGTGCGCTTGCCGCCTGGACGCGGCGCCACGGCCATGCGCGCGATGACGAGCGCCTGCGGCGCATCGCCGCCACGATCGTGACGCACCGTGGAGTGAGGTCGGGAGAGAGCAGGGAGTGTGTAGTGAGAGGCGCAATGGGCCCACCGAGAGGCGCCGCACCGCGTGCTTCAATGGGACGTCCACGAGCGAGGCAACGGCGAGCCAACGGCACCGTCCGCCGCAGAGCGCCAGCGCGGCGCGCCGAAGCAGCGAGGAGCCGCGCGCCGCCGCCCAGCGGCGCCTCGCAACAGTACACTCCGCACCGAGAAGTCGTCGAGGCTCTGCCGGGTGAAGTCACAGCCTGTTTGCATCGCCGACGCGTGGCTCAGACGCGTGCGGCGACGCTGCTGGGTCCCTCCGTGTGCCTGGGAGTGCGTGGACCGGCAGCTAAGGCTGTGGCGGATGGCTCGCCGGCGACTCGCTCGACGCTCGCAGCACTCGGCGGCGAGGAGGCGGCGCAGCCGAGTCGCGTCGCGAGCCACCGCTCGGGCCTGCTGGCAGCCTGCTGCGGACCCTGTGGCACCCGCCGGCCACGAGTGGAGCCGGGAGGAGGCCACGGGGGCGCTGCAAAGGCGGCGGCGGCGGCCATCCTGCGGCGTGTCGCGCCAGACGAGTGGGGGTTATACTCTCTCGAGGTTCTCGAGGTGGATATCCTTTGGCCGCGTTGGGTAGCGAGGATTGGTGTAACCCGAGCCGTGTTTTCTGGCGGCCGACCGTCAGTGCACGGAGTTGCCACTTCTCCGACTGCCCCGGCTAGTTCACGAGTTTCGCGGGAGTGACCTATACATCGCGAGAATAAGAAATCGTACGCCCGTTACGCAAAAGCATGCGCGACTTGCACTCGTTCGTGCCACTCGCTCGCCGGTGCGCGGGGCATGGCCTCCCGCGCGGCTCGCGCTCACTCGGCCTGCCTCCGCCTCACGGCTGGCTGAGTACGCCATGGGTCCGCCTGGTGCGGCGCTGCTCGCTCGCTGCGCTGCACAAAGCTGCGAGAAGCAGGGTGGCCTCCTGAGCTTGAGCATGGCGCAGCGCGGCTGCTGGTGCTCGAGGGCGGCCGTGCAGTGGCGTGAGGGCCTGATTGGTGGTGACCTCGTGCTGCATCAGCGTGCGCAGCATGCTCCCTCACCCGGTGCTGAGACATGCTGGTGGGCGACTGGCGCCAGCTTCTCAGTGCTGTCCTTGGCGTTGTGCAGCATGTCGCAATACTCCTGCTGCGCTGACCGGCGCGCGGGGTGCGTCGTGCCGCGAGTGGAGCGAGAGGCTCGAGGCGCGCGGCTGTCGGTCAACCCTGCGGCGCATGCGCGCCGCCAAGGCTGCTCGACAGGCGACTGGCATTGTGGCGACGCGGTCGCCGTTACTCCAACTTTGCTTTGCCGATCAAAAGCGCCGTCCTTTGCTTTTTAGCCGCCGAAATTTAGCGTGCTGTTTTTTCTTTATAGGCGTCTGCAACTTCCAAGCTGCGTATTCTTGAGCACTTGAGCACCGAATAGGGTCGATTCCGCATGGTACGGGACCCCTCGATCGTCTCGCCCTCCCTCGCTGGTGTGTTCATTGGGGGGGGTCATAACAAACACGGTACAGGATCGAGGTGCACGCTGCCAAAGCAGTGTCGTCCCCCCTCTCCCCGACGGCGATGGCGGTGTGACCGATCGAGCTACAAGAGGAGCTTGTTCAGCAGGATCCGGGATAGTCAGATGCACTACCTCACTGGGCCTGAGACCATCACACGACGCACCCATCACCGTCTCGGATTTGTATGGAGTCGAACCACTCCGGGATGGGCAGCCCATCAATTTCACTATGTTCTCCGCTGCA